TTCTACAATTTATTCGCCAAGAGTTCATTCCTGCTTTTTCTTTCTTTCTTTCTTTCTTTCTTTCTTTCTTTCTTTCTTTCTTTCTTTCTTTCTTAAATTTCATTTGTAATATTTCCGTCAATCTTTGTTTCTTTGTAGTTAGCTTTCATTCTCGTCATAATTTTTTTCTTTGTTTCAGTCAATATCGTTGTCTCTTTCTTTCCCATTATATCAACATTTTTTCGTCTTCTGTTTTAAAATTAGTCAACTATACAATACTATATATCCTCGATGCATACAAGCGTATTATTTCGTATCTTTATGCATAACAAACGTAAAAACTAGTCATAGGCAAACACAATGCTGTAAAGAAGAGAAAGACACATCCGAAGAAATGTTTTTAAGTAACTAGTACTCGACTAACAAACAAAATAGATATTAGTTAGTATTGTTAATGTTTCGATGCTTATTCACATTCTCTTCAGAAGAGTAACTTATTTAACGTTCATTTATACATGTAGAGAAAATTATGGATTAGTTTAGACATATATTCAGTGCAGCGAAACAAGAGGTAAAAAAATTCATAAATTATTATGAAGTCCACTTGCTATTGACTATGCAAAACTATTGTCGTTCGTGTCCGACGTGGACAAGGTTTTAATAATCAAAAACTGTTATCAAAGAACAACAAAAAACAGTACAGAATGTGTGTACGTTGTCTGTCAGAAAATATCCTGTTCTTTAATATTAGCGGAAAAAATAGCCTACTTCGTGTAACGGGGCTTTTGTATGCGCAAAACCACTTCCCTTTCACATACAAGTGATAATCAATGTTGAGCATACCGGGTGTAACAGCAAAATTGTCCCTTTGTTAGATTAAGCTTTGAGCCATTGTATCTTAGAAATGATTAAAGATATCTTACTGGAATTCTCCGAGGTTTTATAACACTATTGGACTCTAGTTTAAATAAAAATATAATTACTCTCCAAGATTAACAGAAGAATCGTGATGAAATCGATCATAAAAGAAAGTGACATGTTCATCATTAATTAATCATAGCTAAGGATCGGAAGTTCATGATGGATTGAAATTAAGTTCATATATATATATATATATATATATATATATATATATATATAATAAATTATCAGATTTAAAATATGTTTTTTCGCTACACATTAATAACCATGTTTCAAAAATGGAAGCTACAGGCTTCGAATTTAATTTTGTAATGAAGTTAAAAACATTAGTTCCATTTAATTCTCAAGCGAATTTTGGAGTTCGAAAGTTTTAGCTTCCATTTTTGAAACATGGTTAGAACTGTGTAGCGAAAAAACATTTCTTAAATCAGTTAATTTATAATATTAATACTCTGTAAATTTACATTGAGCACTATTTTGTAAAAATAAAAATATCTATAAGAACACCGGATTATATATCTTAATGTTCTTTTTTTATATATATATATATATATATATATATATATATATATATATATATATATATATATGTATGTGTGTGTGTGTGTGTGTGTGTGTGTGTGTGTGTGTGTGTGTGTGTGAGAGTTAGCTCCTCCTTAATTCCCTAATTGTTCATTAGGGGGCGCTCTCCCTACACTATAAATACTGGGCGACGTCTTGCCTCGTTCTCTTTCCTACTTTGCATTTCAGCGGACACATTTAAAATGTAATCTCTCACGGAGAACAACGTTTTCGCCCACTTATGGGAAGACCCCATGAAACACACATACACGTAGGAACGAACATTCACCAAGAACAAACTCTTTATGTTCACACACAAACACAATTGTTGATGTCTTTGTCACTTGTAAATTTGTTTTTTTAATACATATATTTGTTGACTTATATATCGGTCTTGTTTGTTTTCTTTACATCTTCGGTTGGACTCAACTAGAGTCCGCCATTTTCTTGAAGTTGGACATTCTTCTATCAGGAAAAAACAACACGTGTTCCTAATTCAACAACACGCAAAACCCACCGGTTCTCTCTCTCTCTCACTCTCTCTCTCTCTCTCTCTCTCTCTCTATATATATATATATATATATATATATATATATATTCCAGGGACATTTTCCAAATTATCCAAGATGATCCCTGTCTTCTCTAACCTTCTTTCTATCCTGGAGTAAAAAAGTGCCTCACACGTTTAACGTACGATTTCATTTAAAAGTCTTTTTTCACTGCTCTTTAGACTGTCATAGCTGAAACTCCTCTCTCACATACCAAACGTCTTATGAATTCAGTTAAATCTTTTCTAATTGATTTCTTTAGCTCTAAGTTGAAATGATGATCCCTTTTCCTGTTGTGACCTCCTGATTCAGTTTTCCTCTCTACTAATTGCACTTAAAAAAACAACTTATTCGCCGTTCTCTTGATGATTCTTGAATGGACTTTGAAAATGGAAGCCAGAGTATAGATGTTGGTATCATTACTGAAGGCCTGAATGATCATTTTTTCTCTCACCATTGTTCATTTGTGAAGACAGTGGGGCAGACACAAGACGATTTTCAACTGTTCTCTTTCTAGCTGAGTAACTCAAAGGGTTTTTCTGTGATTCTTACGACATATGATTTCAAGATGGTTAAACGATTTATCTGAAAACCTGAAAAAGAAAGAAAGAAACTGTATTAGTGTTGTGGTAGGATCCACCTAATTTGCATAGTGGAGTACCGACCAGATGAATATTGTTGGTACCGGGAAGAGAGGGTGGAATCAAGAGATTCAACCAGAGACTCTGCCCGACTGCGACTCAGTCAACACATTCTCCAGGAACGGTCTTACCAGGAATATACAAAAGACTATATGTAAATATTGTGTACACTTTCTTGTTTCAATACATTTTGTTCTAAGTACGTTTTGTGTTGTATTATTATTCCATGCATTAGTCAAGTTTCAACAATTAGTTTGGTGGTTTATTATATATTAAGCATTTTCTGGGATCGGCAATTACCCCATGCTGTTACACGATTTGGACAGTTTTGCTGTTACAACCGGTAGATTAACCTGCGCCAAGTATAGTTTCGCCTAACGTCGCAAGTTGCTACGAAACCAAAACATTAACTCAAAATCTCGAGTCATCGTCTTAATCTTAATCTTAATCCTGATCAGATATATGGATGTCATACATGGCACCAAACCCGTTTAGAAATGCCTAAACTGTCAGCTGTATACAAACGCTTTCTCAGATCAATGATGAAAAATAGCTTCGAGAAAGGGAAGCCTGTAGACCGCAGCGAGAAGCATCGTTTTGGAGCCACATTGATTTATACTGGAAAATCGCAACAAAAGAACTGTTCTAAATAACAGGAACCAGATCACGCGAGGACTTTCAACAGCAGCAAGAACTAAAATGTATAGCATATGTAACTAAAAGATAAAATAATAACAAGTTGATGGCTGAAACTGTTTTCCTACAAAATGGTTTTGATGGAAAGATTTTTATAGATTTTAACCGACAATGTCACCGACTGTTTGGTCAAGGAATGCCTAATATTTCCTTATATGGAAGCAATTAATATTACCATTAATCTTATCTTTACCATTTGAACTTTACCCGTCCGCATTTCAATGCATTCCTCTTTCCTGGATTGACATCCGCTTCATTGCCATGTCCTCCATATCCTCCCCAGGATGTTTCAATGGTGATTTTAGTTTGAAGAAAACCAGAAGTCGATGCAGACTATAAAATCTGGAATATTTGTTTTAAAAAAGAAAAAAAAAACTTTACGGGATGTGAAGACATTTACCGCCTCGATAATTGTGAACATGACACTGTCACGCAGTACATAATGGTGTCTAACTGCTGATTGAATAAATCTCGAGGGAGGTGTTTGTTTACGCATGCGCAGTATGGTTTCTTTTGTTTGGTTGTGAAATTATATCAAGACCATGCAAAAGGTTTCGTGATATTCAAAATGTCTAGATACGTCCACAGGGATCTTGTACAGTTTTTATAGACACACAAAATCAGTGGAATATCGCACAAAGAAGGAAAGAAAATTCCTGTAGTCAAGCGTCTGAAAAATATAAATTAAATATAAATGAAAAAATTAAATTTGGTTAAATTTGAATATCTTCGAAGTCAGTTTAAAATTCTTTTGAGAAAAATCTTCTACCATAAATTGTAAAGTAACATCTTCATTTTTGCTAAAAAATGTTTTTAGATTTTTAAAATTTTAATGTTAAATACGCGCCTTCTTTTCTTCGTGTTCTACTTCCACTTCTTCCGCGTTTCTACAGGGCGTGGGCTATCATCGCTCTCCACAGCTATATATCTCTCGAAACTCATAGCAATGTTTGGCTTTTTATTATCCATCAATTGGTCCGACCGGGTAGTGTAATGTAAATCTAGTCTCCAGCCTGAGTGATAGTTGGCGATGTCTTCACACCTTTCGATATCAATGCCCAGTCAATGCACTTATGTCCTTTTTGCAGACGTCCTTGAAGCGAAAAGGGGGCCGCTCTCCTGCCCTCCTGCTGCTGACCCGTTCCCGTACGGATGGACCTTCGGAATCCTCCCATCTGGCATAGGATGTACATGTCCAAGCCAGCGAAGTCGGCACCGTTGGAGAAGGGCGTATAGGCTGAGTAACTGGGCACGAGTGAGAACTATGCCATTACTGACCCGGTCGGACCAATTGATGCCCAAAATACGTATCAGCTCAGCGAAGATGCAAGACCCTGAGGTGTCGCTTCTGTCTGGAGTAGATGTACAAAGTCTTGCTGACGATGTGTCCTCTCCAGGGCGCAGGCCTAGGCAGAGCATTATGAGAGAACAGCGGTTGCCTATGCAGAGCGTCACCCTCTTCACGCCAACAATGTTGTACAAGGGAAAGATAGAAGCCAATACAATTTGTCACCGGCCTTGTAGCAGTTGTTTCCAGAACAAAGTTGAACATAACATCGGACTGTCTTAAGGATTCCGCCTCCGGATATGGCCTCAGGGTTTACTCCCATAGATTGGGTTTCGCCTCATGGTTTACTCCCGTAGATTGGGTTTGGACTGAGAGTTTACTCCCGAAGATTGGGTTTGGCATCAGGGTTTACTCCCGAAGATTGGGTTTGGACTGAGGGTTTACTCCCGTAGATTGTGTTTGGCCTGAGGGTTTA